TTGTGCCTGTAGTGTTGACAGCAATAAGCTACCATCTTCTTCAGTAGGCAATTCAATAGGATCATCTCCTTCGTCTTCCAATACTTGTATAAAATCCATTTTCGCAAATAAGTCAATTAAATATAGATACTATAATATTACGTGAAGTTGATATTCTGCAAAAATATAAAAAGCATTAGTAAAACAATCTTTTTTTCGATACTTAAGTTTGAAGCGTGTGTCCTCAAAAATCTTCATATGTTCTTTAAAAAAAATTGATCTCAATTTCTAGACAAAATTTACTTTCTTTAGAGGAACACTATATTAAATATCAATAATTTCTTTAATAATATTTACAATTGTTTAATATTTCATATTTAATAACCACCAATAATTTTTTTAACTAAAATACTCAATAAAGCAAAGTAGGACAGAGCGCGTCAAAATGTATTTATTAGATAATGTATACAACTAAAAAGTGTTATATACAAGAGAACAGGGTGGAATAGATCAAATATTTCAAGCAACTTTGAAAATTCAAAATAATTATATATACTAATCTCTCTAACTTCCTTTGAAGTATGAAAATGAAAAGAACCGATATCCGATTTTGTGGTAGCATATAACACTTTTTATAGTTAATGCGAAGCTTATGTACATTTTAATGCATAAACACTGACGCGGCAATTTACAACGTAAAATTATTATAGTTGTCCGATTTCCATTTGTTTCAATTTAAGTAAACAAGAAGTGAAGTAAACAAGAACTTTTATTTAAAAATATGTATCATTTTACTTTGCTCCTTACCATTTTATTTCATTATGAAACTTTTTGAAATGAATGAGCAACTGAGCATATATAAATACCCTCTGAAAATTTTGGTAAGATATATTTCCAATATTTGAGAGATTTCCTGCCTGTTTTAAGATCGACCATGTGTAGCATTTAAAGTCAATTCGTGAATGTAGAAACCATTTTTTATTAAAACCGAAGGGTTTCTGAGTGTTGGTGACTTTTTATATTATAAGAATTTGGCAATTATCCTAAGAAAATGGAAGGGAAATTCATTGCATTAATCAAATATCCATATGGTCAGATCAGAAAAATGCGTTATATCACATTATTGCGTCGTTAGCAATTTTATATATTATGATAATGAATAATATTAACATTTCGGTATTTTATTTCTATGATAATTTACACCTTTTTACGCTTTTTTTGATTTCAACTGCCGACAATAAAAAATAACAACACGAATAAAAAATCAAAAAGATATCAAGAAGAAGACCGTCACAATAAAATTTCACGCATTTTAGTATATATTTCCTTATTTTTATGAAAGAAATTCAAACTTCTAAGTTCTATAAGAACACAGGTACGCGGCTGACCTCCCACCGTTTTCTGGTTTTCCTAAGATATTTTAAAATTTTACAATACGGTGAGAAAGATACGGGAGGTGATCTATGACGACGTACAGGAGATTGTAGTAAGTAATGGTATCCCCTTTGAATATGTTGCTCAATGAAAACGTTAAGAAGTCATTGGAATCTTTTAAAAACTTTTCTAAAATATAAAAAGTTGCAGAGATCATTTATATATATGTTCAAAAGTTGCTTGTGTTGTATATAGACAAGCATTTAAAATTTGGTTGCAACATTTGGTTTGCGTGATGCAGAATTTAGATAATGGAATGGAACAGAATCAAAAATTACAACCCTGCACAAAAATTAAGAAATGAATACAAAGTAACAAAGGAAAATGTTGAGTTGATTTGGCCATTGTTTAGTCACTGTTTGAGAAGCATTGCTTTCTGCTACTCGTTTGAATTTGTGTTTACATTGTCATGAGAATATTTCGATTAATTCAATAGCTGATTTTTTTGCCCACAGATATAATAACATTTTTGTAAATCAGGAAGCACGAAAAATACGTCCAATTTCAAATTCGAACACATCAAATAAAGTAGATAACCTTAAACTCTCAAAACAATAGAGATACGTTAACCACTTTAAGACAAGATTAAACATATATTAAATAATTGTCTTGATAAGACAATTCCTAAAAAACAACGTTAATTTCCACAAAAACGGATGTTAGTTTCCATAGTTTCTACATCAACTATCTAATAATTTCTAGTCAAGGGATATGCGACGATCATATCCAATTGGCGGATTCAATGCACACAATATACGTATTCACTTATCCAGGCGCTACGATTTTCTTCGATCGCTTCTTCTCATTTATCAGAAAGTATTATGTTTAACAGAAAGTGCGACGTCTTTTCTGTTGCTTCTTCTCATTTAACAGAAGAACAAAAAGTACGACGACTTTTCTGTTACTTCTTCTCATTTAATAGATGAAAAAGATTTTTTATTCACCATTTTTCTTATTTATTAAAAGCAAGTCTGTGCTCTCCTCATTCACCACACATAGTACTTTTTTTATAAATGGTGTAAAGGGAAAAACCAGCTAACGGCTTTTGGCGAGAAATCAAAACCATTCCACAAGTGCTTCATGAAACATAGAAATCGAGTGAAAAATTACCAAGAAAATGGAAACGTGTTATTAATTTATTACAAAGTACTGCTTTTAGAGAGGAAATTTACAACACATTACCTCACGGTCTACCCCCTTTAATATATTCCGTTCATGATGATGTAATAAGATCCGCTCACCTTCTACGTTCTGCTGAAAGGCCCTTGATTATCATAGGCAAGGGAGCGGCTTATGCGAAAGCCGAGAATATCTTGCAGTTGACCTAAACTTTTCAAAGGACACGCCTACAATGCCCACATGCCTAGGCGACAAAAACTTTTATTTTGAAAATGGAAAAAATCAGCTGCGTCCACTCCATATTCTTGAGCATGAAAATTTGGTCCTTTTACTTTCTTTGTCTTTTTTAGGATAACGGCAACGGGGTATAAAAGATTCGGTCCTGACCGAATTTAATTTTCTTACTTGCTTTTATTTATATTTTTGTCCCTGGGCAGCTAGTCCAGATTAAAGTATATTTTCCAATAGTCTTTGCTTTTGCTAAAATGCAGACGATGTCCATTCACGTAGCGTTCGAATTTCGAAAGACTGGAAAGAATCTTGGTTATATCATTAAAAGCTATTTGAAAAATTGATGCGGTCTGATGATATGCTTGCGATTAGATGAAGAGAATTTGAGAGATGACTATTGACTACAAACCTACATTGCCTATGTGGCGTCAACGAATTGACGTAATTGAAGAACTCAAGTCTCGTCTGATCCAGTCGAATTGTTCTGCAAAGTCGACTGCAAGTACTATGACCAGATCCCTTATTGAAATAGCTTTGGCTGTGATATAATCAAAGTGTTGAAGAGCTTCAATACAACTTCTACCACGCTTTTGTAATTAAGTTAAGTAAGTGGGTTTGAAGACAACGAATAATCGAATAATCTCGACTTTGAAAAGCAGGATTAGCGGATTATTTGAATTAACTCTTTTCATATTGACTTTTAGCGCAGCTTACGTATTTTTTAATTGTCTCACTTAAGCAAGTAGGGAATCATCATTTTGCGCTCATTCCCTCAACAGAACGAAGAATTTAGGATCTATACATTGTTTTCTTGTAAACCTTAATAAAAAAAAAAAAAATTGATATATGAGAACAAAAAGCTAGTTATTCGCTATTTTACAGCTGCGGCAATGTTTAATGAAGAATCCAAATAAACCGGGCATTCGACTTTAAATGTTTCAATGATGCTTCGTAAAAAGCGCTTATTATCATTAAACCCAAAATTGAATTTTAGGCCACTCAATGAACTCTGTCAGACACCCAATAGAAATTTATTACAAACCGAGACTAGAAGACCCGAACTAGGGAGATTTTTTAAAAATGCTGTTGAAACAAGTAGAAGTATGAGTACACCATGCAATAACCCAAAACGCTTTATTTATATAACGCCCAAATAGCTTTATTAATATAATAGCTTTATTATATATTTAAAATAGCTTTATTAATATACATAAAAATATATATTAAAGAAGTTGTTATTCTTTTTAACGCTTTCCTGATTGTTTCCGATTCTTTTTCCTTGACTTGGTCGTTTTGTTTTCATGTTTAGTGTTTTGGCAAATACGCGAGCTGAACGTATTTAATTTTACAAGTTATCCTAAAAGTAAATCGCCATAATTTTTTTTTTATTATCAAATTAAACAAAACAGTAGCTAAATTATTCTGCTATTTACAGAAAGAAGGTAATACTCTATGCTAATTACAGAAAGAACGTAATACTCTATGCTAATTTACAGAAAGAACGTAATAATCTATGCTAATTACAGAGCGAACGTAATACTTTATGTTAATTACAAAGCCGTCGGCAAAAGTCCCCCATTTTCATTAATAATAAACTCTAGAGCACAGGACTGTTATTTTAGGTAAATCGATGCAAAAAAAAAATGCAATTGTTAATAATTAGTATATAATTGTTAAAAGTTAATAATTAGTATTTAATACTGGAAGTTTATTGTATTTATTGTATATATTGTATTATTGGACAGTTTAACAGACTGAATAGCGTTACCATTTAAGTTGTTAATTGGGCTTTTAACCATTTAACAGAGCTGCCATTTTTGGACTATTTTTTACACGAAACTCTGTACTTTGCCTACTTATAGGCTAACTTGTAAAATTGAAGATATTAAGAAATTTTATATGGAAACATAGATTTATTAAAAAAAATATTATAAAATTGAAGAAATTAAGAAATTTTATATCAAAACATAGATTTACTAATAAAAAATAAAGAAACATTAGATACTAAATATCCTAAAGTTTTCACTTTCACTACTTACCTTTCACTACTTTTCTTTGCCTTTTCCTTTGTTTTGCCGACGGCTTTGCATTTTAACAAGTTGGACCTTTGTTTTCTGTTAAGTTAGCCTAAAAGTAGACTGCAATAATTTTTTTTATTATTATCAAATCAAACAAAACCTTAGCTAAATTTTCTGCTATTTACAGAAACAACGTAATTATCTATGCTATTTACAGAAAAAACGTAATACTCTATGCTATTAACAGAAAAAACGTAATACTCTATGCTATTTACAGAAAAAACGTAAGATTCTATGCTAATTTGCAAAAGTCGGCAAAAGTCCCCAATTTGTTCCTCTTTTACAGCACCACTGCGAAAGACGTTGCCATCTTCATAATAATATTTACTCAACTGGTTGTTGTTGTTGATTTGGTGACTAACAGAAGAAGAACAAGACTAATTTAGCGATAGAATTATCGTTTCTTCTTATTTTCTTCATTTTTCCTTCCTTTTGTATTTGTTTTTCGTACGAAACTTTATATATAAACATTTTTATATATAAACATTACCACTACACGCATAACAATTATTTTAATCAATTATTTATTATTAAGGTCCCAA